AATTCAAATTGCTTATCTGTAGCTCTTGAAAAGCATAATTGGAAGTTCTGATTCGATTAAGAAAGGACAACTCCAGATTTGCTAGATAATGCGAGAAAAATGTGCTAAAATAATCATATTCTTTAAAGACCATCATTGTATGCTGTTTTTGATTCTGGCCCTCGGACTATTGAGAGAGTACAACGCTTTGATCATAGTGAACCCTAAAGGAACTAGAGCTCTTTCGATATTATTCTATCGAATCTATCGAATGCTTGGACTTATACAGTAATTGCGGGGATTAACAAAATGATAACATATGATAGCTCAATTGATGATATAAGCACATAAATGAGCAAATTAGAAAGAAAATACAACACTAAGTCATCTCATATCGAGTAAGCCAAATGTATTATACGATAACTAGGTTGTATTGTCTGCCACATCCTTTGCTTAGCAGCTAAGTAAAACTTGCCTGAGTAAATATCCGGTGATCACTCGAAGCGCCTGAAAGGTTTCTGTAAAAATGCCTCTGTCTAATCCGAATGGAGAACAGAGCACAAATAAGATAAAATATTCGTTTAAACAGCATTGATAAAATAAAAGCATGGCTAACAAAGATGAAAGGATAGGTCGAAATGAATCTGATCAGCCCACTTACAGTTAAGACTAACACCGAAGGTGATCAACGAATAAAGAGTATGAAAAATGACAGGAGACTCTATCAGTCGATAGTTGTAGAGCAATCCAAGATATTTTGCAGTACTGAGGCGGCGTTGATCATCGTGGCGTAACTCCATGCCTACTCTGATTTCCTCGAGTACGTTGTCGATAACGGCAGTCGCAAAATCAGCATGATGCACGGAAATACCTGAGAGGATGCTGGAGAGGCAGGTCAGATTGATGTAACGCACTCGCCAAGATTCAGTGAAAAGGCGTTCAAGACAGGTATAGGTCTGGAAGCAAATAATGATTTAGACGAGTTTTTCTTTTCAAATAAAGTAAAGCTAAGCTAATGTGAATTTGTAGACCTGTAGCCAATCTTTCCAAATAAAACTGGTAACCTCGTTACATCACATTCCCAGTGAACTGTCAATACTTATTTTATTAAAAGATCACCTGTGAATACTACTCGGTTTGACTAAGCCCTCACGTCTAAAAAGCAAATATCGCCACTGTACCGAATCCACAATTAGGCCTATCAGATTTTGACCTTTCGCATCAATAAAAAGCTGAAATTCACATCACACAAGAGTTTAAACAAGAACTCCTAACTCCTGGACTTCTCTATGGCCCCATCCTTGTGGCTGCCAGCTTTCGCGATCGCGCGCCAAACTCGCTACTATACGAGCGGTATGCCTCATGGAATCGCTCGTGAAAGTCCCGACGCTCCTCTCATCTACAGCTTTGAGCCACTAAAAGTGACAGC